GAAAATAAGTTTAAAAATAGAGAAAGACTTTTTTGTTTGAGAGAAAAATATATAAATGCGGAATATCAATTGAATATGTTATTTAAATGAAACTAAATCTATGAAGTAAACCCTTTTCTGCAATAGACGATTCCGGCTCTTCTATTGCATCTCATTCATTTTAATAATTTTTTTTATTAAAAGAGCTTTTCAAAAAACAAAAAATAGATTTCGAGAATTTTAAAAGCCGATAAATAATGTTGATCTCAGTTCTTGAAGATTTTTCAGCTCGCAACTCTGAAAATTAGACATACTTTGCCGTAAATATACTAATTAAAATTCCAATTTTGCGAGGAACTAATTAATGTCCGCGCCAGAATGAAATAGGGTTGGGTGTAAGCGCAATAACTCAATAGCAGTAGCTAGAGACCTGCGGCTTTCATCAATTGAAAGAGGAGAAGTCGGGACGTCTTTTTCTCCGGTAGAGTATAAGACGAAATTCTTTTAAAACTAATCATCTTCGAAAAACATGCAAAAGAATATATGAAAATGACCTGCCATCTAGATGAAATTTTGATTTCGACCTTCAATTTAGATAGAGTGACTTGAGATCTATAGCTCAAGATACAATGCAAATGGTTCTTTTCTTACATTCTAACGTTGAGCAAATGTAATTACGTATTTACAAACACAAATAATAGGAAATTTTGCTGATTTTTTAACTTTTTGTCATAATAGCTTGGCATTTCGATGAGAATGTAATGAAGAGTAAGAAAGTGCATGGTATCTTGAACTATAGATCTGGGGTCCCTTTATCTAAGTCGAAGTTCAAAATCAAAATTTCATCTAGATGGCAGGTCGTTTTCATGCATTCCTCTGCATGTTTTTCGAAGATGATTAGTTTTAAAAGAAATTCGTCTTATACTTTATAGAAGAAAAAGACGTGCCGACTTCTCCTTTTTGAATTGATGAAGACCGCAGATCTCTAGCTGCTGCTGTTATGGAGTTATTAGGCCTACACCCAGCCCTCTTTCATTCCGGCGCAGACATTAGTTAACTATTTCATTAGATTCATGACAATGGAATGCAAATATTGAGTAGTTTTAAAGTGAAGGTTTCGACTCGCCGCTTAGACACAAAAAATTTTTGTAGCAAGCATAATGTCTTAATCATCTTAACTCTGATAAATTGAATGCAGCCTTCATGCAACATTCAGATATATTTAGATCAGGATTCATGGCATGTGACTGTTGTTGGAAAAGATCATAACTGCCATTGAAAAGATAGCTTTCATGGAAAGAATTCTCAGATTTCGAGGTTATTGGAGTAATCTTTGTACCAGAGTACATTTTGAATCACTTCAACTTTTCATAGCTAGAGATAAGACGTATATTTTTTCTTTTGTTACGAATCATTTATTACTCCGTACGTATCACGTGTACGTACAGGACTTTTTCCTTCTATTCCTTCAACCAGAATTTAAGGCTGACATGTAGAAATAGATGCAAAATAGATAAATAAATCAATATATTTATTTAATAATTCAAAATATGAATTAGAACAAATATTACAACATGACAACAACATAAAAAGATCAATTAGTTAATGGAGTCGATTTTCATCAAACATTACGACAACATGAGGCAAAAAATCAACAACAACATATTCAAATAAAAAGACAATTAACGAATACAAATGAAAATGAAAATGAAAATGAACAAGAAGAAGAAGCATTTAAAGTTGATAATCAGAATGATGGTTATCAAATCTCGAAGAGTAAAAGAATCAAAATAAACAACAACAATAACAATGTTAGGTAATGATCATAATCGAAGAATAACGGCAAATGAACCTACGAGAACCAATGACAACTTCAACAAACAAAACAAAAAATAACAATAAATAATAACAATAATAATACTCAACACCAAAATCATTTTCAAATGACAAAACTTTGCTATGGAATACTCAACCGATCATCATTATTAACCATTTAAAATTGAATGCTTTCCAAAATTAAAAGATTCAAAGCAAGGTTCGAAATTTGTAAATGAACTTACAAATTATATTAGAAAAGATTTTACAAGGCAAAATCCTGTTTACTCAAGACCTCTACTATTTGATTTATAGTGGATTGATCTAAACGGCGACATACAAATAATAATTAAATTAGCAGAATTATATGTTTATCTATGTCACCTTGAACGTTATCCCAATGAAATAATGGACATAAAACTCAAACCACATCCACCGAAACATCTTCCACCAAAACACACAGCAATAATAAAATGGATGAGACATGCAGTAACAATTGAAGATATAAAAGAAGAATTAAAAATAAAGTATATTTCTATTTATTCAGTTGAAAAAATGATGGGAACAGCAAATGACAAGAATCGTTATTTAAGAATAGAAATATGGGACAAAGAGGAAAATAACTCATTATTAAACAGTGGAAAAATAAATTTGTATGACCAGTTACATGATATTGATGAATTCTGACCATCACTAAGAATATTAATGTGTATAAGATACAATCAATCTGGCGATACAAAGAAAACATGTCAAAACACAAATTATAATATATGTCTCCGTTATGGTGGTGATAGAAGTAAATTAGGATAACATAAAAATTGTTCAATTAAATGTCATCACTGTGATGGTGACCATATCTCAACCGATTACAAGTGTAGTTTACTTCAAGATTATCACCGTCAACTAATTAACGAACTAAGAAAACATCCAGAACGACCTTCACCAGATGTACAGATTTGCATTCCATCCGAATATAGACCAGACGGTGATCGTATTAAATGAATTTCTAGTAAAAATATACTGAGCATACAAAAGCACCAACAAAACAATCCACCTCACCAATATAATAGAAACGATTTGAATGCATGACCTTGACTGAGTTCGTCTACATCGATATTCCCATATACACCAGCATCTTCATCTCATCTGAGTGTAACAATCCAAGAAATAGACAACGAATTAAAACAAAAAAACGAAGAGGAACAAAAACTTCTAGAACGAAATTCCGTGATCATTTAAACATAATGAATCAAGTATTATTGATCATGCAACAATACCAGCAAACTCAACAACAAATATTGACCACAATGAACACCACCATCAAACAAACGATATTTATAATCTGTCCAGGTACGCCACTGTCTATACACACAGCTGCTACAAAATTGCAAACAAGTACAAATGGTTAGGATGAAATTATTCAACATTTATCAAATCAAATGATACTGTTAAATGGAGCATATACAACATATATAAATCAACAATCATCATTAGAATAATTATCACATAAACAAACTGAAGCATTAAATATGGCATTAGATATTATATTAAAAAATCTAATGGTCAATAAAGGCTTTAAATATAGTACTCCAGTAATTAATTCAGAAATAATCAACGCATTTACCGGAACTTTCAGTGAGAAATAAGCTCTTTTTTTCTTTATTTTACGAGTGGAATTGTAGAAATTATATAAGTGAGTTAAATGAGAGCTGGTTTAAACAAATACCTCAAATTATCGCTGAGAACTTGTCATTTATTCTTTGGAATAGTGAAGGTCGTGGTACTCATACAAGTGGCCTCGATGAACTTCTTTTCTCCCACAAGCCACAACTATGCATACTGACAGGAGTAGGCAAACAGCTTCAGAAACTCTCATACATTCCTTATTATTATTGGCATAGTCAGGAAGGCACGAATAGTTTTGAAGGTGTTACTGTACTAGTCCATCAAAGAACAAAAAGTCATGTTTTTGATAGAATTGAAAATTTTCTTCTTCTCGAAATTGAACTTCTCCACGAAAAGCTAGATATCTGTGTCATATACATTGCACCAAATCGTACTCTACAGTTAGACCTATTCGATAAACATAAAGAGAAGAACATCTTTATTTCTGGAGAGTTTAAGACTAAGCATACAAATTGGAATTGCGAAAAAAGTAACAAAAGTGGTAACCTATTAAACAAGTGGCTGGAAAATGAAGGACTTTAAAGTAATATACTCAACGAAAACTACATAAAAAAAAGGTCAAACTCAGTCATTGATTTCGAGATCGGCAAAAATTTTACAGGATGGAGAGTATATAATTTGGATGAAGGAAATTCCGATCATGTCCTAGTATTTATTTTAACATTCTTTTGCACAGGAAGAAATGGCTTTTTTCTAAAAACACAATGGTATGTTTTCCAGTTTTTTTTAAAGGTAGTCAATGAATATTGGAACGCATTCGTTTACAATACCGATCATGATTCATTTTTTGAACTATTCTCTACATTTATAGCAGCTCTTTTTGATCGATGCAGTACATTTGAAGAAATAAAAACATTTAGACCACCCTGACCGCAACATTTAGTAATGCTGGCGAAAACGGTGAATAAATGTAAAAGAAAATATAGATGTACACCTTTTGTAGGTGGTTATCCCAATTTTCTATGTTGGAGGAACTATTTTATATAAGAAAAACTCATTTTTCAACAGCAAAGGAGAGAAAACAAACTAAAAAGTATGAAAGAAGAAAACAAGATTTGTAGATATGGATGTGGGTGGATGGGTGTTTGTGTGGCACTTCTCTTTACCCCAAACCCACCCTTTTTGACCCATACTTAAAAATTTGAAAATACAGTAGAAAAAATTGTTTGTTTTTTTCTTTCTGTTCTAGAGTCTGTACTAACGCATTGTGATACACATATACATATATATATATATATATGTTTGTTTCCGTTATGTTGTTATCATTGAATTATTTCATTCTTATTCGTTTCTTTCGTTCTTTGATCTATATATTCTTTTTTCGTTTGTTTTCTTAGACTATAAATTGATATCGATCTTGGTCTTTCTTTTCTCCTATCAAACTAAATTATAACGTATTTATAACAATCTCGAACATTCTATCCTTCTACGCAACTGAATATGTGATACACTTTTATATTAGAAGTATATTTGTGCATATAAATAGAATAGCTCTGTTCACAATATCAAAAAATTCAGTTATGGAAGATAGTTGGTTTGAAGATGATAGTGATGAAGACCAACTCGATATTGAAGAAAGTGGTTCAGAAACAGAAAATGCTGATAGTGAAACATCAGAAGACGATGAATTTGATTTAGACGAAGTTATATCAAGGTAAATGATACACATATCACTCTATATAGTTCAAATTCGAGGATGACTTGGTCCTCAATTCCATCTCTTTCAACAAAAACAAATTCTGTTGATAATACAACTGAGAAGACTGGACCAACAGAACTCGCTAAAGATGTAACATCGATTGCTGATGCATTTCTTTGCTTTATATCCGAAAAAATGTTACACAAAATATTGATTTATTCTAACATGGAACGGAGTCGAAATAGTACTTCTCATAACAAATCTGAAGAAATAACAATAGTCGAATTAAAGGCTTTCATTGGACTTTTACTACTTGCTGATTTGTTAAGAAAATCAAAGAAAGACGTTAAGTCCTTATGGAGAAGTAGTCCGTTAGAATCTCCAATATTCACAGCCACCATGTCAAGAAATCGATTTCAACAAATTATTTCTTGCCTAAGATTTGATGATAAGGCAACAAGAGAAGAAAGAAAAAGAACAGATAAATTTGCTGCAATCCGTGAAATTTGGACAGATTTTCAAGATAATTTGAGAACATGTTATACATCAGGATCCTCTCTTACCATTGACGAACAACTTTTAGGCTTTAGAGGAAAGTGTCCTTTTCGTCGATATATTTCAAAAAAGCCTGACAAATACGGATTCAAATTTTGGTTATGTGTCGATACTAATGCGTATTATGTTTTTAATGCATTTCCTTACGTCGGACGACAACTAGATCAAGAACGACAAAAAAAGGTCGCTCAAAATGTAGTTCTAGATTTGCTAAAACCATTGTATGGTTCCAACAGAAACGTCACTGTTGATAATTTTTTCACAAGTGTTTCACTGGCTAAAGAACTTCGAACGAAGAAGTTTACTATTGTTGGAACATTACGAAAAAATAAACCGGAAATCCCTATAGAATTCCAGTCTAACAGAAATCGTCAACCTGATTCATCACTTTTTGGTTTTCAAGATAATCTTACTCTAGTTTCATTTGTTCCCAAACAAAATAAAGCTGTTCTATTGATGTCTTCAAAGTATCATGAGACTTTCGTGGACAAAAAAACAGAAAAACCGACTATTATTTTGGATTATAATAAAACAAATGGACCTGTTGAGACTGTCAATCAAATGTGTCACTAGTATACTGTAAAAAGAGGTACAAGGAGATGGCCACATTGTGTTTTTTACGGCATGATCGATATTGCAGGTATAAATGCCTTAGTCATATGGAAGGAAAAAATCCTAATCGGAATCTAAACAAGAAATATAAACGTCGTTTATTTCTTGAAGAATTGGGAATAAGTTTAGTCTTGCCTCTTCTGGATTTCCGCTCAAAGAACTCTACAAATTTACATAAAAATATTCAAGATGCATTAGCTATTGTTGGCTATTCTTTGACAGAGGAAGAACCACAAGCAACAAATGAAAGCTCTGTACAACCCAAACGAAAACGATGTTCATTTTGCCATTTTTCCAGAGACAAAAACTTCAACTAAATGTTATCAATGTTCAGAATTTGTTTGCAACGAGCACTCAATAAAGCGTATTTTTTGTATTAGTTGTTCCAAATAAAGAAAGATCCTCATCTTGATGAGTTGTTGATTCAATCAAATATGAAAGTTACCACATTTATGCTAAATCATTGATGCAAAACCAAAATAATTACGTTACAAAACCGTATATTGTGAGTAAAGTGTTAAAAAAGGCTTGGTACTACTAGGGTTAACATGTACACCTGTGTGAATCCTTGTTATATAGAAATACAACGAGTGATTCATCATGTTCTCGAATATGAAGCATGTTTACTAGGATGCCAATACGAAGTCTCTTAATATTTAAAAGAGCGAAATATTTTTCTCATCTAAAACTTCTGTGAGAATGTGGATATTGATATATGATACTAGCCGTATCTTCTATGCGGTATGACTGTTCGGTGTATCAGTGTCAGAGTGTGAGTGGTTATGTTTTTTCCATGAAAATCTAATGAAAGCTAGAATTACATGCTCGACCAATTTACACTTACACTCAGACTCAGACCTAATCCAGATCCCTCATACATTCGACCACAACCATTTTAACACCACCTTGCACACCACACCCATCTGCACAAAGGCCCAAATCCACACCTACACCCAGAACGAAGAGTCAACAAAATTAGATGATGACATTGTGATAATAATTGAATTTGGCGAACATGAAAGACAATATCTGACAAACAATAAAAAATTAATGATCAAACATGTCGTTTTTCGATCGCATTGTTTAGAAGATCTCAAGTATCAAAATGAGTTTTGTTAACAAAGAAATCTTTTTCTATTTTGTACTCATCATCATCATAAATTTTATTTGTTCTTTGAAATTCGATGTATCATTGTGAGAGTGTGTGCGTGTAGATACCAATTTGGAGCTTCGCTTTGGTCGCGCCCACGCCCTCTTCTGATATATCCTGTTCTTTTGTACGAAAATCCCTCAGGCTATAAAAAGATGAAAATAAGAAAAAAATAATTCTTCTTTCATCTAGAAAAAAATGATCTTTTTGCAGCGTCGAAAAGCGATCGCGCAGAATTTCGTTTATTTTGAAAAAAAGTGAACTTTTATCTGTGACTTGTACAACTTTTCACGGTGTATATTGTGTTATATTTTGCTTGTTTAAGGAAACATATTCGGCGATAAAAAGTTTAAATAAGCTAACAGGAATGCTCTTTTCAGTGGGACTAAAATTGATCGCACAGTGTTTTGCTTTTTTTGAAAACAAAAATTACATAATAAAAATAAGCTTTACTTTCTAGATTGCAGAGTTTTCACGCTGCATCTTGTGGTATATTCTGTTTTTCAAATCAGTCAATTCTGTACTGAAGCGTATCATCAGTGAATGAAAAAAGCCGTCTCAAGAAATGTATAAGGATATTTCCATGGGGTTTCTATCACGTTTACATGAAGCATCTCCAATCAACGTGGAAATTTCAGCGTTTGCACAGCTCGAATAGGTGATCATATTGATGCATTTGGAATACAGACACAATTTTGTCAACTATGATTTCTAGAAGTCGATTTTTCATAGTTTTTATATTGTAAAATTTCACAAACGACTTTTTTAGCGTTTTTCATCCTTTTTTCTATGCCTTTATTATTCACACGTTTTTGATTTCTTATCCTCAGGCAGATAAACTTTTCAGAAAACCTGTTTAAACGCCCAAAAATTGGCCTAAAATCGACAAAAATTGAACGCTTTTGACTCACACTCGCGATTCCCGGCTATGAGCCAAAAACATTAATTTTTCGCCCCTTTTGTGCGTTAAAACGCATTTTCAGATAAGAAACGCGTGTACACACGTACAAAGAAAAGAAAAAGTGGTCGTTTTCTCATACTCCAGATGCATGCTCATGATTACAATCATATTTCTCGAGTTAGAAAAACAACCCAACTTTTGTCTCTATTTTGTATGCGTGTACAAGCGCTTCCTGTCTGAAAACGCGTTTAAACGCACAAAAAGGGGGAGAGAAATGGATGTTTTGGGGCTTATAGTCGGGAACCACAACCCAAACAGACAAACATTTTCAAAATCGCGTTTAAACGCATGAGAAAGTGTCTTTAAAATATAAAAAGTGCACATTTTTTGCTCACAATTGCGGTTCCTGACTGTCAGTGAAAAACGCCCATTTTTTTGTCCTTTTTGTGCGTTTACACACGTTTTCAGCCAAAACACGATTGTAAAAGCGTATAAACGTATAAAAAGAACATGAAAACTAGTCGTCTTTTTCATACTCGTGAATCGCAACCATGATTATAATGACAGTTCACGAAAAACAAAAAGACGACTACTTTTCATATTCTTTTTATACGTTTATACGCTTTTACAATCGTGTTTTGGCTGCAAACGCGTGTAAACGCACAAAAAGGACAAAAAATGGACGTTTTTCGCTCACAGTCAAGAACCGCGATTGTGAGCACAAAACGTCCACTTTTTATATTTTTAAGACACTTTCTCATGCGTTTAAACGCGATTTTGAAAATGTTTGTCTGTTTGGGTTGTGATTCCCGACTATGAGCCCAAAAACATCCATTTCCCTCCCCCTTTTTGTGCGTTTAAACGCGTTTTCTCAAAATTTTTCCAGCTTCGGTAAGAGTACTTTTATTCAGTTTTGATTGTAGTATCCGAAGCAATAGTGTTTACAATTCTGGAACGAATGAGAGAGGGCTAAAAATCAATGGATCTTCACATATGACATCTTAAAATACTGAAATATGATTTGTATTTCAATTGAAAAAAATGCAAATTTTGGAATTTCCCAGATAGCTGACATAGTGGCAAAGATAGAGTGAAACTTGCTCTACAAAATGGTACACTTCGCTTTTCGGGGCGATGAAATATATAAAAAAGGGCAGATTTCAATGTTTTCAGTCTATTTTTTGATGTTCAATTTATATGGGAGCATTTCCACAAGAACTCANTTGCTCTGCTTTCTTTTCACTCTCGTATTTTTTGCAACGTCGATAAACATCATCGAAACATTGCTTCGAGCGATAACGACTGTATTTGACAACAAAATGAGACAGATATGAAAAGAAATTTCAACAAATGTTTTATGATTGGAGATACTATGGCAATTACCAGTAAATTTTTAAAAATCGTTTACAGCAAGAATCGTAGTGCAAGGTTTGTGCAGAATACTCAAGCTTTTATAATAAATTATAGTGAGTTTCGAAATATCGTTTTCAAAAAGGCAAGTATCGATAAAGCCATTTTTTTTCGCCCACGATATTTTGCAAAAAAAGTTAAATATTCTGAATCAGCATCAAATTCTAACTAAAACGGTGTAATTTTTTCGTGGACAAATGACTTTCACTATTATTTTGTCTTTCGGTACCTGTACGAAATCACAGGACCGTCGAAATTGTTTTTTTTTTAGAATTCTACTTGGGTGTGACTGCGAATGTGTGGATGTGAATGTGAATCGGTCTGGGTGTTGTTGCTCTCATGTTCTCCAACTAGCCATACTGACGCCCATACCTCATAAAAAAAAAAACAACTTTTCGTACAGCATTTAAAATAGCTACAAATACGATTCTCTGTATGTCGAGTCTGTTCGTAGCTAAGCCAAGAAAAAGGAAGACACAAACATTGAATTATATTGTTTCATCGTGGGAAACAACAAATACGGCTTGTTGAACTAAATTTGCCATAGCTGCTTCATATGCTTCATCGAGATTTGCATGAAAAAGTGGTCGATTGATATCAAGAATAGGAACAAGCATAACATCTGTATCGTTTTCACCACGATCAAGACTAACTTCTACGTTTGCTACAGAAAAAACTGTATGACCTTGATCAGATGATCCAAATCCAGCCGAAATAAGTGCACGCTTCATCCAAGGATTTGACAAGCCAACAAAATGCCAATTAATTTTTTTATCTGCATAATGATCTAATTGTTGACGAACATCAATGAGACTTTGCAGAGCAGTTATATCTAAATGAGCAACACCAGTAAAATCTAAAATTACAGCATGTAAGTATGGACGTTGATCATCATTCTGTAGATCTTTTTCTGGATGACGACTTGTCTGTAGATTCCACGGTTGTTCCCCAAGCGAAGTATACCGATTAACTTTACCTGGTTTAGTTTCACGAAAAATTTGTTCAACTAAACGTTTCATAAAATAATTTGCATTTGGATACAAAAAACTTTCATTTAATCGATAGATAAATATACCATTAAGAGGTGATATTGGAATAATGGTCGGATTCGAACCATCAGAATGATCGAATGGTACATAAATATTTCGAATTGTTACATTAGTATAACTATCAGATGTTAATTTGACTTGTTGAACTTCTACTCGACCAATAAAATCACCACGAGCTTTTGCAATACGAAATAATAGAAGAGCACCGGAAGAAATTATTGAAATATAGATACCGATTTCAATCGTAGAAAATATTGTTATCATAACCCCAATCAAAAATATAAAAAACTCAACGGGATTAACTTGCCAGAAACGTTTCAAAGTTGTCGGTCCAACAATCAGATCGCCAACAGCATGAATGATAACAGCAGCTAGATTAGCTTGGGAAATCCAAAAGAACATTCCTGTTAAAACATAAATACCTAGAGCAATCCCCATACCACTAATCACACCAGCCAATGGTGTTCGTACACCAGCTTTAGACTTAATAGCTGTTCGTGAAAATGAACCTGTTGCGGGATAAGCACCAAAAAAGGGCCCAACAATATTTGTTACACCGATAGCAACCAATTCTTGATTAGCATTGATAATATAATTATTAATTCGGCCGAATGATTTAGCGATAGCAATATGTTCGATGAGAAGAACAATAACTGTCGAAGGTAGATAAGGTACAATGGCACCCAACATTGTTCGATCGATATACGGTACGCCCATATTTTGAAAGCCGCATGGAATTTTACCGAGTATAGATGTACGCGGATGATCAGGATCATGTCGATTAATCAACCATGAAATCAAAACAAAGGGAAGAATCACCAATACAACACGAAGTGCACAAATAAAGAAAAAGATTTTTTCTCGCTTTGGAAAACGTCGAGCAGCCCGAATGCATATAAAACGAATTAAATAAAGTAAAACGAGTGATGTTAAACCGAGTGCAGCATTTAAATTACAATGTTGAATTTGTTTCCAAAAATTACCAAAAACCAAGTAGGTCGATTCACGTGTATTCAAATATTTATTATTACCCATCATTACTGGTATTTGTCCTATGGCAATATTCAATGCTGAACCAGTCATAAATGCTGCTAAAGCTGGTAGAGGAATAAAATCGACTATAAAACCGAGACGAAACATTCCAAGAGCAAAAACAATACAGCCAGAAATAAGAGATAATGCCGATGCAATTATATGTGGTTCATAATGTGGATAATCTTTAAGTACAGCATCGACTGCGCTACCAGTCAAGAGTGATACGACTGCCACAGGACCAATAGTAATGTCCTAAAAATAATCAAGATTATTATTGTTAAAGAAAAAAAGTTGACTGAAGTCGATTGTTTTTTATACACCTTATCATACTCACCTTACTAGTAGCAAAAAACCAATAAATCATTACACCAACAAATGAACTATACAAACCGAATTGTGGCGCTAATTTAGCTAATCCAGCATAGGCCATACCTTGTGGAATAACAATAGCGCCGACTGTCAAACCAGCTATTAGATCACCCCAAAACCATACCAAATTGTATCGATAGATCCATTTGAGAAACGGCAGATAGGATAAAAAATAATTCTTAAGTCGTTGTTTCGGATTTTGAAACTTTTTTTTAAGCCAATCTTTGACAGTCGGATATGGTTCAAAATATTCATGATGAGTAACAGCTTTAACTCGACTCAGTGATGATGACGATGTTGATGCTGCTACTGAGTTAATTGAATATTTATCTTTGATATGTTTGTCCATAATTTACTATACACAATTAAGCTCGATTGTACGAATGTTAGAAAATTCTGCTCGAAATAATTTTGCCTAAAAACAATTATAACTCATGAAATAGTGTACAAATACAAAGTGATAAAACAAGTCAATCTTGATTTCTTATTTCTCATAGATGCTGCAAGAGCTCTCTAATGACAAATTTGCTCCGATCATAAAAATATATTTGTTCCATGTGTTAAAACAAGCTTTATATAATAATGCCATTTTCCATGACTGTTCGAACAGATAAAAATGTCAACAAAAAAAACGTGTGAAAGTGATGCCGAAACTTTGAAGATTCTCGGATGATAAACACAATATTCGATTGGCAATCAAAAACGCCAAAAAAAATAACAGCAGCATTAAAATGCAAGGTTTTTTATGGAACATGACCGTTACCATCATAAGGCACGAAACTTTCTATCTATGATATTACAAATGCAGAGACGATTTTTGATAGAGATCGGAAAAAAATCACCTTTGAAACTTTCTACAAGTCCAATAAACGAAACAAGAAATTTATTTGCCCACTATAGACAATGTTGACATAATAAATCGATCTAACTATTAACCTGAAAATCTTGTTACTACGTAACAATTTGATTATCCATCAAACTATTTTTGTATCGGACTATCTATATTATAGTGTACTTGCCTAACTATTTAGTTCATACGTCTAAGTTTGATCAAAAGATAAAACGTCGAAAAGAAAATTGCTAGAAATATCATGTGTAAAATGTCGTCAAATATGAAAACGTGATGCTGAAGGTAGATAACAACGCTTCTCTTCCATATTTTTGCAGTATGATATCGCTGTTTTGGACACCATTATACTTTGTTATGTTTACTTTCCATATTTTACCTTTGAAATGTGAAACTTCTACATTACTTGAGTATATATATGTAATTAGCTAACCGAAACCTAACCTATCTAGGATATGGATATGTGGGTTGGGTGTGGTTATCATATGTTCTATATACCCACACCCACACCCTTTTCACTCGCCGTCTTGCGTAAGAGCTTTCTTTGATTTGGCTTTTTGCTCTGCTTTGACATTCTCATATAGCCTTCAGTACTGATCGATGCGTTCAAAAAATTCATGGAAATCAAAGAAATCGCTTGCTAAAATATTGGTCACAAAGCATCAGGAAACCATTATAGTTTTCTATAACATATTCAATTCCTAAACTTCAGCTTCGAGATAATATTTAAGAGACAAGATAGCAATGAAAATGAATGATTTTTTTAATAATGGATTTCCATTTCAATATTCAGAATTATACTTAAGAAGAATGAATGTGATTTCATTAAGGAATGGATGACTGATAAATATGAAGACACAGCTGCAATGCTTCAACATATGCTCGACAGACAGACCATTGCATATTCTGCATAACTTGCGATTTTGTTTTCCAGATAGATTTCTCTTATCGTCGAAACATTGCAAATATTAACAGATATTTAATTACCTGGCAAGGATCTACAGTATTCGAAACTTGAAAGTTGAAAGTTGAAAGTTGAAAGTTGAAAGTTGAAAGTTGAAACTTGAAATTTGAAATTTCAGTTGAAAGTTGAAATTTCAATTGAATTCAAGTTTCAAGTTTGACATATATGGAATTCTGTAGATGGAACCGCAATTAATTATTGCATGTTAATTAGTGTAAACGTCTAGTAACAACATTATTTCTTCCCTCGTCTCACTCGAGGACGTTATAAATAAACAGTACTCTATTTATCTGTTTATCAGAATAGCACCGAAAAAATATATAGACAGTAAGTGAAACAGACGAAACAAAAAACTTCATGCTAATGAAAAAATGAAGTGAAAATATGACGGTAATACATTAAGATTGAACACGAGATACGTTACCAATATAACAAGACAAAGAAAAAAGACTATCGAGTTTTATGCTTATAGAAAACTTTTTATGTTAGCTGGAAGACACCCTAATTCAAATGAAGAAGAAAGAGAGATAAATGCAAATACATTTAGTTTGATGTGTTGAAAAGTAAACTTTAAGATTTCTGTCTCCTTCCTCGTTTATACAATTAATTATCACGAAGATAACTTTATAGTCAACATCTTTTAATAGAATACTGTGGGTTCTCACTTCGATCCGAACGGATGCGTAAAATGTGGACCTGCAATTTTTCTACTTAATATCGTTCTTAAGTTAGAAAACAATCATATATTTGACTGTTCGGGGTGTGGGTGTGGGTGTAAGTGGGTGAGCAAAAGACACGTACGCCCACCCACAGCTACCCACACCCCGTTCACGTGCTGTTAAGCGGTTCTCAGTAACAGTTCCGTAATTTATACGTAACTATGTCGTAAACCGATCTTCGTAAACGAAATTCTAGGAATGTCGAAAACATGCCGTTTTGTATCTGTTTACTGCCGTTACGAACTGTTTCGTCCGACCTGGGAATAACGGAATTTTCTTTAGCTAACTTGGTACTGAACAACTTCGAAAAGATTAGCATTTACCACGTTTGAAAGCATTACAAGAAGATGATAAAGTGAGCTACACATATGCACGAGACAATGAATGAAAGGTAGAATCTAACTATACTTATTCATCGTCACAAAATAGTTTGGCAGCGAGTGAATTAGCGAATCATAAGAAAAGTTCAGCAGCAGCTGTTGCTACTGCTAGTCATTTATCTTTTTTTCCTCCTATACCATCATCACCAGTTCCTCTTCTCATGACACCATCACCTCTGCCTCTGTCGTCTCCCCAATCTCTGTCTTCTACAATTATCAAACGTTCATGAAAACTTTTAATGAAAATGCTCAAAGACGTCGTTTACAATTTGTTTCATATCCACCTTTCCATCTCAGCTTCCACTCCTTCTTGCATTACGTAGTTTGTAGACCGATATCATCAGTTAACCAACAAATAAAAAAACAATTATCATCTCGCATAATTAAAAACTGTCATAATAGTAATAATAATTGATTGTATTGATCCAATAGTACTTCTTGATGGCGATGATGTTAATGATGATTTACATAGTAATTATTATAATAACAATATATCAACATTAGCACGACGATTTATATCCCATTCAACATGTTTATGCCAAATTCTATCTACTAGGACGGTATCATCATACAATAATAATGCTACTACTCATTGACATTGATTGTAGATATATATTTAACAACCTTTGTAAAAATATTCTAATTCTCAGATCTGAACCATCAAAAACAATTACTAACAAGCAACCAACAGTTTATGTTGTTACATCATGATCGTTATCTAATTATTTGAGCATTCGTTTTCTAATAACAGTTGCAACAAATTCTGATACAGATGGTGATCAAAACTTTTCTTCTTCATTTCCAAATCAATATTCAGTAGCTCGTAATCACATTTGTTTTCAATCTTGTTCATCAACAATCTTTTTACTTTGGTTTCTTTATGTAGTCGCCCTTCATAATATTACTGACTACTAGTTTTTTGAGTTCTATTATTTATCTCTTTACATGACGTCATTCAGCTGGTCTTATTTATTTTCTAGTTCTTTCCTCCGCTTTTTCTTTTCATCAGTAACCAAATTGTCTATAAATAATTAAAATATATATATATATATACTTAGGGTTATCCAAAAGTAGTGTCGGAGGCACCTTACTTTCTTATAGAAGGCTTGAGGAAGTTTTCTTTTTTTATAGGATGATAGAGAAAAAAATTCTCTATTTTTCTATGCTATTTGATCACTCTTCAACTAATAACATAATAATAGAATTTCGANTGATCTTTTTACATTCAATACAATTAAAACCTACGTGATTTGTTAATACATTTTTCTTTTCAATCATCGAAGATCACGAAATGTATAGAATGATATAACAAGAATAAACTTTACAGTTTCAATAGAAAATCGCCGATTGATGATAGTTAAGTAAAATGAATAAAAAACCAAGAAAATTTGAAGAGTAAATACTTGAAAGAATCATCGAATATCATCAGTGTTGAATCGTTATTAGACCATAGTTGTACATTGTTGAATAGAACCATGTGTTTAGTACAGGCATTGATTTGTAGCTAAGAACCATTACAAGCGTAGCCAGGATTTTATGAGACAATGTTTAGTTCAATAGATCAAATAAAACATCTAATCAAAACATTCTAAACATTTAAAAATAAATGATTTCGTCTGAATCTAAGAAACAAGAATTTTGAATAACATTGAAAAGCAACCTATATAGAATTACTAAAAAAATAACTACAAATATGAATGCATTCATTGTTAGTCTGTTCAAAGATCAATCAAAGAAGAAGATGAAGATATTGAATTATAGCTTTTCATCACATGAAATGACAGATATTTCTGGTTGAGGTAAAGTAGCCATAGCAGCTTCATACGCTTCATCGAGATCGGCATAAAAGAGTGGTCGGTTGATATCAAGAATAGGAACAAGAATAGTATCTGCATTATTTTCACCACGATCAAGATTAACAGTTACATTTGCTACCGAAAAAACTGTATGACCTTGATCAGATGATCCAAATCCAGCTGAAACGAGTGCACGTTTCATCCAAGGATTTGATAAACCAACAAAATGCCAATTAACTTTTTTATCTGCATAACGATCTAATTGTCGTCGAACATCAACAAGATTTTGTAGACCAGTTATATCCAAATGCGCAACACCAGTAAAATCTAAAATTAAAGCATGTAAACGTGGACGTTGATCATCACTTCGTTGATCTTTTTTGGGATGACGACTTGCTTTTAAGTTCCACGGTTGTTCACCAAGTGAACCATATAGATTAATTTTTCCTGGTTTTGTTTCACGAAATATTTGTTCAACTAAACGTTCCATATAATAATTAGCATTTGGATATAAAAAACTTTCATTTAATCGATAGATAAATATACCATTACCAGGTGATATCGGAATAATAGTTGGATTGGTACCATCGGAATGATCAAGTGGTACATAAATATTTCGATTTGTTATACGAGCATGACCATCGGAATTTAATTTGATTTGTTGAATTTGTACACGACCAACAAAATCACCACGAGCTTTTGCAATTCGAAAGAGTAGAAGAGCACCTGAAGAAATAACTGTTATGTAAATACCCATTTCAATTGAAGAAAATATTGTTACAATAACTCCGATCCAAAAAATAAAAAATTCAATCGGACTAACTTGCCAAAAACGTTTTAAAGTTTGTGGTCCAATAATAAGATCTCCAACAGCATGAATAATAACAGCAGCTAGAGAAGCTTGAGAAATCCAAAAGAACATTTCTGTTAAAGCATAAATACCTAAAATAATGAGTAAACCACTAATCAAACCAGCCAATGGTGTTCGTACACCTGCTTTTGATTTAATAGCTGTTCGTGAAAACGAACCTGTTGCAGGATAAGCACCAAAAAACGGTCCAAAAATATTTGTTACACCGATAGCAATTAATTCTTGATTCGGATCAATAATATAATTATTAATACGACCAAATGATTTAGCAATAGCAACATGTTCAATGAGAAGAACAATGACAGTCGAAGGTAGATAAGATACAATTCCACTCAATAATGTTTTATCGATATATGGTACACCCATATTTTGAAATCCACGTGGAATTTTACCGAGTATAGACGTACGTGGATGTTCAGGATCATGACGATTAATCAACCACGATATTAAAAGAAAGAGAAGAATCACAAATACAACACGAAGTGTACTCAGAAAGAAAAAAAATTTTTCCCGTTTTGGAAAACGTCGACCAACACAGATGCATATAAAACGAATAAAATAAAGTAAAACGAGTGATGCTAAACCAAGTGCAGCATTTAAATTACAATGTTGAATTTGTTTCCAAAAATTACCAAAAACTAAATAAGTTGATTGACGTGTATTCAAATGTTTATTATTACCCATCATAACTGGTATTTGTCCCATAGCTATATTCAATGCTGATCCAGTCATAAATGCTGCTAACGCTGGTAGAGGAATGAAATCGACTATAAAGCCAAGACGAAACATTCCGAGAGCAAAAACAATACAGCCAGATATAAGACATAAAGCTGATGCAACTATATAGGATTCATAATTTGGATGATCTTTACGTACAGCCTCAACTACACTACCAGTCAGTGCAGACACGACTGCAACAGGTCCAATACTAATATCCTAGAAATAATCGAGATAATTACAATAAAAAAAAAGACTGAAGTCAATCGTAATTTTTTTTATATATTATCATACTGACTTTGCTAGTGGCAAAAAACCAATAAATCATAACACCAACAAATGAACTATACAATCCAAATTGTGGTGCTAATTTAGCAAGTCCAGCATAAGCCATACCTTGTGGAATAACAATAGCACCGACTGTCAAGCCAGCTATAAGATCACTCCAAAACCATGTTAAATTATATCGATAGATCCAATTGAGAAACGGTAGATACGATAGAAAATAATTTTTTATCCGTTGTTTAGGATTAATTAACATTTTTTTAAGCGAATCTTTGACAGTCGGAGACGATTCAAAATATTCATGATGAGTTACAGTTTTTATCGGACTGATTGCTGATAATGTTGCCGGCACTGAAGTAAGTGTATATTCATCATTGTCATATTTGACCATGATTGACGAGCACAATTACGTATGATTGCACGAATGAGTCGAAGTATTACGTTATGTTTGAAATAGTTTTTCCTGAAAAAAATCATAAATCCTAAGATGTCTTGCAGTAAATTCATAGAACAAGTGAATGTTAATTTCGTACTACAGCTCACTGTTAACAGATTTGTTCGATATCAAACGTCTATCATCGGGAAAAATAGCTAAATGTCGAAATGCAAATTGTAAGAAATTATGAAATCTTCTAAATCCTTAGTAAAAGAGTTTGTGTATGTTCTGATGTATAGAATGTAAAACGGCATGTATGTGCACAGTACTACAGTGATGAAAATTTGGGAGAAATATATGAATAAAACAAATTTTGTTTTTTTGATATATTCACATTCGACATTTTGAAACGAAATTTATCATTGGATGGGTCAAGACGAACTTTATCTACTTACGAATGTCATTACGCTTGTGAGATCTCTATGGTATTTTAGCTTTTTCATCAGATATAAAGTTTTTGACATTACACGATACGAAAAAATTGCATTGTGTTTCTGATAAAAAGAAAACAAAGCCTAAATCAAGATTCAATAACAAGAAAATAGACAAAACTATTGACTCTAAAGGCTTTGAATAAAGTATACGAAATCAAAAATGGAGCTTCAACAGGATACAATGTGTTTCCAAATGAAATAAATCTGTGGAAAAATAAATTACTGTCGACTTCAAAGAGATAAGATTACCAGAATAATTGAAAGAAAAAAGGATATTACTACGATATACGAACATCTAGGAACGAATCTTATGAAAAAGAATTTCATTTTGATTATTTTCGTAGGCAGATCCTGTCAGCTTTTCTTGATAAACATTTATTGACTTATCAGCCAACTACGCATACCTGTGAACGTTCACGAATACATGTTGCCAGCGTGAGAATACTATTTACACATTTTAGTCTTGAAAAACAAAATATCTTTTCTTCGAAGACAAAAGTTTAGAAAATATGTTGGTCACAAGATATTTGCAGATAACTAATATTCATAGTAATCAGTTGCTACTCTGCAGCTTTGGATATTTCATTCTCGTTGATTTCACTCTCACAATATTCAGTATTCAGTAAAAGTAAAGGGTCATATATTTAAATCAACATTCACGAAAAGATTGAAAGTTCCATGTGTTCTTTACAACGAGATTGAAACTACCAACTAAGTGAAAGTTCAACATAAATGCGTATAACTGAAACCGTTGGAATATGTATAGTTCGAATGAAATACTCGACAGTAGGATCTATGCTTATTTTCAAAAAAATCCCGAATTTACAATGTGCAATCGTACTATTCTCAATACAGTCAAAATCTCTTCGAGCATTCATGTTTATCAATTGTGGTACATATCAAGAAAGTTGATATTCAGTTTAAGTTCAGATCAAATACTGAAAAGATCGAAGCGCCAAGAAATGATACTAATGAATACAAAGTTTAATAGTTCTTATTATTGGAAAATGATATAAATAATGAACTATGAAAACCCCTGAATTGAGTTCAAAATACGTATCCGAGCGATTGTCTAGAATAATGTAGCGCTTAAAATCTGCGTGTAGATTAAACTAATGTGTGTTATTTCATGCTTACCTGTTGTAGTAAATTCAACCTCCACTAGAGCTCAATGTAAATACAAAACCGTTTGATGTTTATTACTTCATCTACGATTTCTCTTAAACGATCAAGAATTCAAGAGAGTCTCTTTATATACATACTTAATATCTTGATGAAGCGTTTTGTGCGAGCTTGTTTTTTTTGAAATCGAAAAATACAATTGAGTATATTAATTCAAATTTTTTTCCTTTATAATCAAGAGTTGTAGANGGGCGGCGGGCGAGCCGCGGCCCACAGCAGGACGCGGGGCAGGGGGCGGGGGGGGGGGGGGGGGGGGGGGGGGGGCGGGGGGGGGGGGGGGACAGTTCCTTTATGTTAGAATGGAAATATTTGGAAAATTTAACACACTTAGCTCTCTAATTAGTTGTTATTCCCGAATCAAATATTCAACAATTTATTAATAGTATTTGGAGTTTATCAAAATTGATCTATTCTTATTTAAATATTTATGTTAATAAAAATAATATTTTTATACTAAGAATAACATCAAAATCATTGAAACATGCATTTATTTGGGATACTGAACGTAATCAAAATGAAATCAATGCTTTAATTAAAAAAACACCTCATCTTGAAGAATTTTCTATCATTCTTGATATTAATTCAAATGATAATAATAAATAATTAAATAAAATATCCATTTTTATTAATTAAGAAATTAAAACTTTCGTTATCTCGAATAGATTAAAATTAAAATAATTAAATTCTTACAAAATATGCCAAATTTATATGAATTAATTATTGATATATTTTGTTTTAATGAAAATCATAAAAATCGAATTTTATATGGTCATCTATGGGAAAAAATTATTCGTCATAATCTACCTAATCTTCAAATATTTCGATTTCGAATGCAATTTAATTTAATTGATGAGAAGAATTATGAACAACGAATAGATGAAATAATTAATTCATTTCGAAGTTTATTTTGGCTTGAAGAACATAAATGGTGTTTATTCGATGTTATTGAAATCCAAATAATATTTTTAGTTCGATTCATTTATATACATTACCATATTGTTTTAATTATTTTCGTTTTAATTATTCAATTAAATTTAAATCAACGATTCCTAATAATAATGAATATATGAATTATAATTATGTAGAAGAACTTGAACATGAAACATCAGAAATCGAACAAATTCTATCATCTTCAATTCAATTTTTTAATCTTCAGAAATTCTATGTTGAGTTTTCAATTGATAATTATTTTTGGTTTTTTGTACCAAAATTAGATCGGTTAACTTGAATGACTATTTCTTTACCGATAATCAGTATAAAATTACAATTATTAGTTAATCATACACTTTGTCTACATTCATTAACTTTTAATTTATGTTCATTTATTAAGATAATGCCACCACTTAATCTTCGAAATAAATCAATTCGTAGAATTATTTTATAAGTAGATAATTATTATTTTGATGATAGAGGTTGTATGAAAATAAGTCATTCATTATTAGGCAATCAATGTGAAATTTTTTCAATTCCTATTCAAAATCATCAAATATCACTTACAATATTGAATAATCTGACTAAACTTCACACTTTAATTATTTCATGTGAAAATGATAAAAAAGAAAAAGTGTTGATGAATCTATTATTTGGTTGAAAGGTCATTTACTATCAACATGTATTATTAGCAGAGATCAGATCTTTAATTCTAATATTCGATTATGGATTCGTTGAATTAATAATTATTATGACATATGATAGAACTATGAATATTGTAAAAATAAAGATGATATCAATCAATTGATATTTTAATTTATAAATTTCTTCTAAGTAGTCTTAGAAGTACTTCTGTTTGGGTAAATTTAACTAGTTTTAAAAATATCTTTATTCTTATCAATTTGAGAAGTCTTGCAAATTTTCATGTTTCAATTCAAAATGCAATTGGAACTAATCTAAATGATTCTACTGTATTTAATAAAAAACAGAAGTTTTTTTCATTTGAAATAACGTATGTAAATATAGTAAATGCTATTGCATATATGAACTAAAGTATACTAGAAAAATCCTACAGTTAATTAAGATTACGCCGATGTCAATTTTTTCTGGATTGTAGCCATTTATGTCGTAATAAAATCAACATTAGAAAGAAAAACAAATGCATAATACTTTTTTTAAAATTGATCCTAATTTAAGGCGATTATGAGTGTGTTTGTGAGACGTAAGTATAGATGAAAATGAGCGAAAAATTCATATCCATAGGGATACTCCTTCGTGAGGGTGTGGGTGTAATATTTTACCTCTACTAGACACCTACACCCACAGCCTAATAATGATTATAATCGTGCATTAAAATCTTATGAGAAAGTATTTCATATTCTTCAACGAAAATATGGCGATGATCATCCACGTCTAGCAGAATGCTATAATAATATTGCAATGGTTCGTAAAAATCAAGAACAATATCGAGAAGCTCTTAATTTATATAATAAAGCATTATCTATTTATGAAAAACACAATGTTGATAATAATATTAATTTAGCTTTATCTTAATAATAATGTTAGTTTATCATCATTTAACTGAATATGATCTTGCATTAGAATATTGTAATCGACCATTAAAAACTTATGAAAATATTCTTCCACTTCAACATTCTCTCATTTCAATGACATCAGAAAATATTGCAAATATATATTATAATAAAGGAGATTTTCGTCAAGCTCTTAAATATTTTGAAAAAGCAGCTAAGATTTATTATCATATTTTACCTTCAACATCTTCTGATGTTTTACAAATTCGAATGATTATTAAAAATATTCAAGCAAAAATCTAAATTAAATCTATTTGATTCGTTTTTTTTAATGGTTAATAATCAATTGAATTCATTCTCGATAAACATTAAGAATATTTCAAATTAAATATTTGATGAATAAAAAAGAAAACAAAACTCATTCAAAGGAAAAGAATATATCAATTCATCACAACGAAGAAATAGGTGAAATCAGATGGTTTTTTTTTTATTGAAATCTATTCCTAAAGATGTGAGTGCTCTCTACAAAAATAGCGAGACTCAGACATCCGCACCTACACTCACAAGTAAGATTCATAAACATTTCTTCTATTGATAGTTGCGTTTGAGTTGAAGGCAAATGAGTTCAAACGTGACATCTGCATACTTCCGTACAAGTGTCGCTCTTCACAAATGGCACTGTAGTCAAAATTATGCTCCCTTTATCTCCTTAGGAAAAATCTTCGTCGAGTATTGATGCACGATGAAAGATCATTTTTAAGACTATCGATATTATAAATCTGTCTTCGGTTCTGTTTCATCATTGAAATCTTACAAATCTATTTTATGTGAAGTGCAAAGAAGTTTTCATTGGATTCAAGTTAATAGAATATTGTCTGGAGTTTCATAAGTCCTATATTTGTATTAGTGTTCAACTAGATATTGCTATCCTGTTTCTGAAAGAAGATTCGTAGAAAAGGAAAAAATAAGGATAAAGAAGGATCATTGCGAAGCCTGGAAACTATCACATCTCTTGGCGAAATATAATGAACAGTATTCAGAACTTTTTTGTACAATAATATGAAAAAAAATTATAGATTATACTTTTTTTCCATATATTATTCTCTCATTTTTCAAGAGTCTCCAACGTGTATACTACTAGCACAGAAAGAAATCTTCCAAATTTATTCGAATAAGATCTCAATAGGACTTTACATCATTTCTTTTCAATAACTCTGCCAGTTGAACAGCGAGAAAACTTAGAAAGTTAATACTAGATTTGATAAATCTTTTGTTAGCTCATAGGAAGCGAAGAATATTTGAATTCGATCAAATGAAAGCCTAATATATTGTCATCGAAAGACTTTCCCGAATTCAAAGTCTAGTAGAATAGGCAAAAGTTTTTAATTAATATGGTCATTTCTAGTTCAAGATAATTTGTCTTTAAAAAACAATGTGTTAGTAGTCAATATGAAAATGTTTGTCATTTTAAATAAAAATCATTCATTGACATCTATCAATATTGTGGTTCCACTTGATCAACATTCAGGGACGGCCGAAGCTCTCAAAACTCAGTGAGGCTCAGTTCCAGCGTTGTCAATTGTTTTAGGGAGTGGAGGGAGGGGAGGGGGTAGCTTTCAACATCATCCCCCTATCCCCTCCTCAGTACCGAAAAATGCAGCGCCCCAACACCGAACTACCACGCGTGATTTCTATCAAAAACTGAATTTCACACCTTATAAACAGCAGTATTAACTCTCTTTTCAACATCTTTCTAGTAAAAACTATCGAAAATTTTTTTATCAAATCGGGGTGATCGTCTCAAGCGTCCCCTAAATCCACCACTGGGTTCCCCTGCCACGTATTAATTTTCATAGTGAAATAAAATTTTATTTACAAAAAAATTTGAAACCATATAGAAACGATTACACTTCCAATTCAAAATTTCAGTGAGGCTGAGCCTACAGAAGCCAAAATCTAGGGAGGCTTAAGCCTCACTGGGCCTACAGGCTCCGCCGCCTATGTCAACATTAACTTGTCGTCGTCGCCATCGTTTCAGATGAATTTCAAAAAGAACATAAATTAATTGATGACGAAATCGTTCGGATACACCGAGATAAATATAGAATGGACTCTAAAAATACATGAGAAAAAAAACCATTTTCAGATCGTCTGATCAGTAAACAATACTCACTGTATAATTTAGATAATACAAATAGATAGTTATAACATTGGTAAATTGAAGTTGTGCGATAATAACTGAATCATTCGGGAGAATGGAACTGTAATTGATAGCAGTAACAATTGTATACGGTATTGTTGCAAAGAAATTGTGAACAACTTGGACAAGAACCATGGTTGTCAATTGTTTGTCCAATTCACGACGAATTAGTGGTACAGTTCGATGTGCCAATTGTTGGACATTACGATATGCCAAACATCCAAAGAGGACAGTAATAGTTACTGGTACAACACCGGCGAGACATATTATATAAACATAAATATGATATTGAAAAAAAGCAGCATTGGTACTTGTACAAATTATTTTATATGATGTAGGTTGTTCAATTATATTAAAATAAATCATATAAGGAATTCCAAGAAGAATCCAAAAAATGATTACTGCTAGGGATAAACGATGGGCAAGTTTGATGTTGCTCCATTGTTGCCAACTAGGACGAGAACAAGTAACCAAATATTGATCAATGGTTGCCAAAGAAATCATTGTGAAAGAGATCAAAACACCAAAGTAGAGTAAATACCATCTGAAGGCGCAATAAAATGGTGAACTCAATGTCCAATCGATGCGAAAACCGGTAATCAGTATGCGAGAGAGTAGACCGAGAAATAAATTTCCAATATTGAAAACTGACATGATAAGCAAATAGAATGCACATGAACTTTCACGAAAAGTACGAAGACTTAGAAAAACAACGATCGTCAGAAATCCACCAATTACACCAGCAATGAACATCACAATTCCCAAATATATAGCCAATTGTTGTGATAAGAAGCCAAGAAATGAAATAATCCATTCTGCCATCTTTGTTCTGAATTTACGTACTAATCCGTCACAATTGTTATTTTATTTTATCTGAGAGCGCATCAATATGAAACGGGGGAAATAAAGAAATGACGACTCTACATTTCTTTTTTTTAGAATTATCGAATGTGCGTGATATGAACGTCACAAAAAAATGACAAAAAAATTGAGTTTAATTGATAATTAGTAAATAACAGAATTATGCAAAGAAATGACGGATTTTTCAAGGAAGAAAGTTATACTCATTATTTTTGATAAAATAAACGAATAACTACTCGTACATTTTGCTTTGATGATAGGATGGTCGTTTTTATTTACAATGATGACAAAAATTATTCATAACTCAACAATAACGAACAGATATTTTGAGAAACAGAAGACACCAAAAGAACCACTATGACTTCCATCTAAGCAGACAAAAATGAGGCATAGACTGATCATTTTTCAGTGATCATCAGAAACTGCGATTGTGAGAAAAACCTAACTTTCTCTGCTCTTTGTGCATTTAGACAGGTTTTCAGCAATATGCAGTTGCTTGGGTAATAATCCATGAATATTCATAGACGAATTAGTGATGAATTGTTGCATTCCTAGTGTCTTGTGATATGTTTGAATTTTCTGATGATATTTTATTGATCTATTATTGTCTTCCAACTAATAGTTACATATTGTCCAAAAACTATTTTAAATGCACAAAGAGCAGAGATTGTGAGCGAAAAATGCCCATTTCCCTGCTTCTTTTTTGTCTGCCTGGATAGTATCTACGTTCTAAACATCATATTGTTTGACTTATACACGTTGAAGATATTGTCATATTACTTCAAATTGAGAAAATTAATTATCATAAATTCTTCAGATAATCCATCATATAAATCCTCTACGCTTTTGACACGTCTGAGAAATTCAATGAAAATGTCGTTAACGAGCTCTATTATTCATACTTGAGCTGCAAAGAATGTTGTTGATGCAAGGATTCATAATTAATTCAAATGAGAACGTCGTTGTTGTAATTCCCTTGGGTGCAGGAAGGATCATATTTAGTAATGGGCCAAAACATCTTCGAGCATAGCGAAATGAAATATTTCATTATGCGTAAGAAGGACAGAATGAAAAAAATTCTTACGTTACTGACGTTCATTTTTGTGTATTCTTTCAAATAAACTCGAATATAACATATATACTCTTTCGTTCTCGTGAATATTTTTCTCCTCTTTCCAATATGACGTTATAACGCGTTGTTACGTAATAGTCGCATATTATAGGACTATAACTAAACAACTATAAACGAAGCATGTATTTATTACGTCCACGGACGATAACATAGTAAACATAGTCTTTCGTTTTTATCGTTAACATATTAATGTGTCATTATCAGACATAATATAAGAAAATTGCCAGTTTTAAGTAAACGTTAGCTTCTGATGGCGCTCATCTTTGATTTTCCTCTTACAAAGTAAACAATAAATGAATTATAGCATTCTATGCTGCTGATGTACCTGTTCTCACGCCACTTTTCTACATAATTACGCGTTGAATAGAAAAAAATTTTATGTCTGAGCTATAAACATGATTAAATAAATTTCATAGGATAATTCTTTTAGTGTGAGGTAAGAAATGATTGGATTCCATAGTTTACGTCATCATCTATGCGATTTACATAAAGAACTATCGAAGTTAATCAACTAATATATTTCTTAAAGCTAGACAGCTGATAAATACTTTTTCTGATAGTAATCTATGAATATTTCCTTTTTTATTTCTAGACATATGGGGTTGACCAGTCTGGCCGGATACCCCATTAATATTTTCTTTATTTTAAGGATAAAACATACTATTGTTCGGGCCATATGAGAGAGAATAATAGATAATACTAGATTGGCCCGAACAACG